GTCTCTCCGTCTTCTCTCAGTAAACCTCACAAAGTGAGAGAGGTCTCATTTCTTTCAGAGGAGAAGAAGCAAAAAATTCAGAAACGGAAGAGTCTCTCCCATGTTGGAAACAAGTGAAAATTCATATAAGATTCTTAGTTTTCGCAAAAGGTTGCAGTCTCCAGAGTGTAGATTGTTAGGAAGTTGTTTCGCTTTTCACAGCGCTAAACTTTGCTGCAGGGACATCAGGTGCACTCATGGTGAGGGGTGGACCTGGAAATCCTGCGGCGAAAAAGTTTTGCTCTGAGAAAAGCGAAAAGTCCTAGCGACCCACCACCTGATCTCTAGTGAAGAGGAATTACTCGAGTTAGTTTGTCTATTCCAGCTAGTTAGAATTCAATCTCTTTGCTTCAAAAAAGACGTCATAGACAAGCTACTTGAGAATATTCTTTCAGATTTCCGAGTCAACATGGGAAAACACAATACAGACCATCAATTCGATTTTCGCCGATGCCGAAAGGGTACGATATTTCCTTATTCAATGAGTTTGAAAAGATATTACCTGCCATTTGGTATTGATCTTCTCTACGTCATTATTGACTGCAGCTCCTCTTTTTAGATATGCTTCGCTACAATCCTTGAAACGGTGTTAGGCTGCGCGACGTGCTATTGCTCTCGTTTAGTGTCAGACACCATCTATCAGAAGAAGGTTCATACTAAATTCCTCCGTTCGGACTTGTAAACGCGAATATACGAACCGTTGCTTTTAGATGAAAAAACTCAGTGAATTTTTGAATCAGGAGAATCATCAAACATATAATCCAGCTGGATTTCACATTCTCAGTCCAATGGAGAGAGGTCTTCGTACGGTAGGTTCTCAATACAACATACATTTAGGTAGTTCACTCTTATTTCGTTGTTTTGTTTACATTTCGTTGATTTGTTCCATTTTGGATTGTTCAGAATAGTAATTAGCGGGTCTCGCACGAATCAAATCAGCTCGAGTTAGCGGATCAATTTTCGATTGTCTCTTTTTTGTTGTGAGAGGAGGGAAGGAGAAGTGGCTTCTATTGTGATTTAAATTAGAGCTCTAAGTATTCTACCAAGCTGTATCTCGACTGCGCAGCTCGAAACAAATACAAATCGAATGCGCTGAAAATTTTGTGGAGATGTAGTTAGTTGGCGTCATTTTCCGTTTTTCACCTCACGATCGTTCTTTAGGTCGAAATTTGGATTCTTTCTGATCAGTCATCAGATATCGTGACGTCGAATGTTAGCCAGTCAGATACATCAGGAGGTGTGTGCATTGTTTATCCCGAATCAAGCTCACGTGAGTCCGCATGATTTGTTCTTTCATATTCATCCATTGTGATGTCAACTTTAGAAAATTATCCCTAACCCGTATCTTGTACTAGAACTTCTGTTTATGTACGAATTTAATGCGGTTAAAAGCGCGCTGCAGCAAGCACGTGTCTGGAACTAGATGGCGGGAGCGAAACAGGTTGAGAGATGAAAATATTGGGTTGGAACATAATATCGTATCTTTTTTCCAGAGTGTAAGTTTAGTCAGTGCAACACCTGATAACAGCGTACATTTGAAAGTGCCTTTTTCTCTCTACAACAACCTTGTTTTCGTTCCCTTCATTTATAGATTTGAACCCAGATGTAATGCTTATAAGTTGCAAAATCTGGACAGTAGAAATTGGCATTTCGACATTCGCTATTCATTGGTTCACATAAAGACAAAGGCTGTGGGAAAGCAGCACCAGCTCTTCAAACTCCACGTTCATATAAGAACCTCCTCCAACCTCGACACAAACACATTCTAGCTCGCTTTGAAAATATTTATGATATTGAAATGTGAAATGACATACGGGGCCGAAAAATTGTGCTCAGATGATCACTTTTCACGGTTTCATTTTTCATTCAAACGTTTGTGCCAAATACAAGGGGTACGATATTGTGTTCCACCCCAATAGTAGAATTATCGATGAAGCAAATTTTATACTGTTGTTCAATTTTACCATCTATATACTACAAGATACTCAGTTTGTTAAACCAAGGGGGGACAACTTCACACCTTCTCATAAAAATTATTTACGATGTTACTATAAGCTGATTGTTGCAGCAAAAACAACATACAGTGAAGTGGATAGTATAGATTAAATGATAGCGTACTGTTGTTCAATTTTACCATATGTATACTACAAACCATCTAATATCTAGCACGGGCGGAAGTGGTGTAGTGACAAGTGGCGCGCTTACCACGCGAGCGGTCCGGGATCAAATCCTGGGTCGTGAGTCGCCCGGGCCAACCAAGCCTTCCATCCCTCCGGGGTCGGTTAATTGGTACCAGACTTGTCTGGGAGGATAAAAACACTGACTTGTACATCGGCTGGCCCCCGCAAGTCATTGTATAGGCCACATCGCATTCAAACGCCACTGCGAATGTACAAATGGAAGTAGAATGCGTGCCGCATCCCAAAAAAGGGATTGATCAACGGCAAATGCTTTATCCTTTATCCTTTATTATATACAAGATTGCATACAAAGTATGAGGCGTAACAAGTCTACACTATCATTTGTACGTTGTTTTTGTTGTAACAATCACTAAGTAACATCGTAAATAATTTTTATGAGAAGGTGTGGAGTTGTCCCCCCATGGTTTTAACAAATTGATGATAGCGCGCATGCGCGCCAGGTTTTTCACAACGGATCTTGATTGTTTTTTATCGGTTTATTTGGCATTTTTTTATATACCAAACTGGATCTTTATCTTATTCGGGAAACGGTGCACCAATTACAGTGCTGAAATTGTTGCCTGTTTGAGGAAGATAGTAAACAAAAATAGGTTGTTTGTTCATGTATGGTTCTCCAGTTCTTTCTGACTTTGATAAGGCCGAGCTTTTTGCCCAACATTTTGAAAAGGTTTTCGTTGCAAATAGAGATCATGATAGTGTCATTGCTGAGTTACCAGGAGTCTTCGCTCAAATGGAAGACTCACTGTGGTTTAGCGAAAGTGAAATTTTTGAGATTCTTTCTAAATGGAAATCAAAGTCATCTGTTCTATGTTCGACATGTACTCGCCCGCGGACGGCGTTCCGTTTCGGTTTATCAAAGAGATACTCCCCTCGATAGTTGGGCCCTTGCGATTCATATTTAACTTGAGTTTTGTTCGAGCTGAGGTTCCTAGGAGATGGAGGCTCTCTTATGTGGTTCCCATCCCCAAGAAACCTCCATATTCGGACGCAAACAATTACAGACCGGTCAGCATCACTTCGGTTTTCTGTAGAGCTTTCGAAAGAGTAGTCAAGAGGGTCGTCGTAGAACACCTTGAACGTCAGCGGATCTTACCCGACTGCCAGCATGGCTTTAGGAAAGCGAGATCGACGGTTACTCAGTTGCTGGAATCTTTAAATGATTGGACAACCTCATTGGAAAAGAAGAAAAACGTTGATGTGGTTTACTTTGACTTTTGTAAAGCATTTGACAAAGTGAACCATTCAAGCTCTTCGCTAAAGCTCAAACACATCGGCATTCACCCGAGAATTTTAGTATGGATCAAGGCGAATAAGAAACACATCGGCATTCACCCAAGAATTTTAGTATGGATCAAGGCCTTTTTGAGTCATCGCTGCTTTCAAGTTCGAATTGGCAAAGCCTTTTCTAGTGTTAAGACTGCCCCAAGTGGTGTCCCGCAAGGAGGGGTTCTTTCACCGGTGTTGTTTTGTATCTATACATACGACTTACCTAGGGTGGTGGAGGATTTGAATGTCAAATGCAAAGCATTCGCAGATGATGTCAAGATTTACCAGGAAATAGGATCTCGAGAGGATGCTGAGACGCTCCAAGAAGCCATTGAGGCAGTTGTCAAGTGGTCCGATGTGTGGGAGCTACCATTGGCTTCCAACAAAACTTTGGTTTTGCATCTAGGCAGGCCCCAGGAGAGGAGCGCCTACTACATAGGTGGTTGCGAACTCAATGAGGTTGAAGCGGTTAGGGACTTGGGATTTCTCATTGATAACAAGCTGAATTTCGAGTCACATTGCGCCGCTATAGCCAATAAAGCTGAAGTCAGGCTATTACAACTCTTTCGCACTCTATACACCAAAGATCCATGTATCCTCATCAAGGCTTATAAGTCGTACATCCGTCCTATTCTGGAGTATGGATCGATTATTTTCTTTCCCCACAAGAAGAAGACCATCTCCAGGTTAGAGTCTGTTCAAAACAGCTTTACTAGGAAGGTTCTGGTCCGTTCTTTAGGTTCAACTATTAGGTACCGGATATCTTAATGTCGTTTTTCTGAGTTCAGGATGTTTCGGGGCCAATTACCATGAAAAATCAGTTTCTCAGAACGTTCTCTTTGCTTATTAATACTACGTAACATGTTGCTTATTAGTCCCTATTGTTACTTTACAATTTATCTCTCCCCCAATTTTTATACCTTTTTCTGAAAATTCCTGGGTTCATTGCGCAAATTCGTATGTGTGTACCAAATGCCATCAAAGTCGGGCTGGGAGCTACAGATCCGCCAACCAAACTAACATTGCTTTTGTTGGAAGGAATACTACCGTTTGGAATGCTCAACGGTTCTCCTCAGGTTTCCTAAAAGACAGTGAAGTTTTTGAAAGGATGCCGGCAATCGTCTTCAAAAAGATGGCCCTAGTTAAGCCAGCTGAGAAGGGGCTGCACCAGACTTGTGCTGAAATGGTAGGATACTTTCACTCTGATGGAATGATGATGCGCAAACATTCCTATGGATTTGATTCCGCAAGATATTCTGATAAATGTGCTCACCTGCCCTCTCACGCGCGCTCAAAAAGGGTGCGTTTTTGACCCTATGTTGCAAAAAAGTCTCCGTAAAAAACTGCCCACTTGGGCTGATAAGTTCTAATTTTTCTGTCGTGCAATGCAGACCCTACGCTAACCAGCTGTACACTTACTTTGTCCAGGCCTTACTTTTAAGCAAGTAACAGGGATGATTTATCAGAGGATGTCAAAACCGACCTGCCTCTACTTTTTAACTCAAAAAATTCCGAGCTTGGATCGTGCAAGGTTTCCACTCAAACTGTTAGATGAGGGGATCCCTAGTAAGTCATTTTATGATTAAACTAACTCCCTCCCCGGGTTTTGAACTGAAATATAATCCTCGCCCATGTGCCAATACTCTTGGTGACCACAAACGACATTAAAGGATATCCGAAGTAACCACAACTACAATGTCATACCCAGGGCTGTTGTCAGGAACAAAATGCTTGGTCTGGAATCTCTTCTTCGCAGAAGGGAAAAGACTGATCTCATTATGTTATTCAAAATACTTGTCGGGAAAGTGCCGATTGATTTGCAAAGCCTCTTCACTGTTCTTCCTTCTGTTACTAGAGGAGAAAAGTTCAAATTAGTTCGTCCATTTGCTAGATCCAACACCAGAGCAAATTTTTTTTCTCTTCGCGCTTCTAGTGAATTTGGTAAGCTCACCAAAAAATTCGCCATGCCCAGCAGTTTATCGCACTTAAAGAAAATATTTACAAAATTCTATACTTAAGGGCTTCAAATTTTTCATTTTCAAATCTGATTTTTAGAGGATGGACAATCATATTCACTAGTAAAATTTTGTTGTTCTACTTCATTTTCTTATGATGTTTTTTTTCCAGTTGTGTTGTTACGTCTTGGCACAGTTTTGTTGTGTTTTTCCATGTACTTTTGTACATGCAAATAAATTAAATAAATAAACAAAATAGTCGAGATGCGGCACAACCCGCTGTCGTCAATGTGTCAATCAAGCATTTCAAAGCGAGGTGACGAGGTGCACGGTTCGCCGCATGCCGTCCATGTTTATATTAGTCAATGATAATGTTCGCGTTTACCGTATTCAGAGTGATGATTTTCATGCATCTATTACTAGTACTCATGTTTTGATGCTAAATTCAAAACCACCACTCTGGATGCTCTCCTACGTGAACTCATTACTGTCTGGATTAACGTAGACATAAGGGACCCTGTCGTGCACCGCGGATTTCGTCAACTCGCATTGAAAGGGCTGCGAGAGACAAGTGCGGGCATTTCGATGATTTTTGTATAAATTTCATCGTTTGCGATGTTCTTTATTGATTCTAAAAAAAAGTCGATGGGGATAGGGTTCTCGTGAAAATTAGTCCCGATTTTGCGTGCGTACACTTTTCAGCCACCCTGTGTAACAGTAGATCAGAAAAAAACGACGAACAAATAATAGTTGAAGTCGATTCATTGAAATGGAAAATGACTTTATATTACGTTATGTTTACAGCATGATGTCATGGGTTCCACTCTCGTGGTCCGTCATAGAGCAGTACGATCTGGCCAAGTAAGATATTGTATAAAAGAAACAGTTGCAGTCAGTCTCCTTACAAATATGGCCTTTCACTCTTCCACATACGCCCAATGTATTTTCCATAGTATAATATGTATTTTCCTCTCAATCCTTTTACTTCTCATACAATCGTTGGATATTTTTCCTTGTCCCATCGAAACATTTTTTGAAGCTGCTTTAAATGAATTGGGCACTAGTCATCAAGCTAGTTTGCACTTATGTATATTTTATCTGGTTGTCCTTCGAACGAGTGTGATAGGTTCTTTTCCCCAATTTTCACTTTTGTTTATTGATGGTGTTGTGTTCATATTTTTTTCATCTTGTACATATATTGGCATTATGTTTTGTGAAATTCCGTTGTGAGAAAAGGCGACCTTGACTTCGTAGAGGTGAAAGCCCACGCATAGATTTCTAGGAATTAATTGTGTCCTTCTGAGAAGGTATTTCTTCTTTTACATTAGTTTTTTTTTATATTTTTCATTGAATGGATGACGTTGAGCTTTGCATGGTTACAAGGATATAAAATATGATTAAAGTTTTCTTCCGAGTTTTGTAAACCTCCTTAAGAACTTTTTGTGCAGCGTGAGCTGCCTTTCTAATTTTTTGAAAAGGTAGGTAACTAACTTGCTTCCTCTTCTATCTCCGCGAAAGATAGAGCGCAGAATGTCAGGAACAACAACTACGAAGCAGCGGTGACTGTATATTTTTCCATCTTCTTAAACTAGAATGGGAATTCGAAATGGAAGAGAGTGAAAGAATCAAAAGCTAGAGAAAAAGAGCGAGATGATAATCGCTATTTGAAATTACGGAAAGGATTATTGTCGATTACTGACTACTTGATTTTTCCTCTGTATCCTGCTGCGAAAGGCTAAAGCGTAGAACATTGCTAGCAAAAGGATCTGTCAACCCGGAGGAATGCAGGGGAGAAGGGGTGAAGGGTGGATGAACAATTTGAGGTGACGCCAAAAGCTGTGCGTTTGGTCCTAGCTGGTCTAGATTTATTTAGACATAAGCTTTACGAACAGGCTATTGTGCTTTAAAAGCTTCAAGTAGCGTGACCATTCTTGGAAAAGGCCCCTTTTTCCGGGTTGCGGCTGTCAATTTAGTAATTGATTTGTAACAAACATAGTTGTTGTGGGTTTTTGTGGAAAAAAAAACAGTGGGAAAATCACTCAGAAGACACACTCACTTTGAAGTTTCCTATTTTGGGGGAGGGTGGAAAGGGTAATATTTTTGCCGTGGCTTTGGGAGCGATACGCTACGCCTGTCTGTTTGCATTTGAATTTTCGGGGGAATTTGTGATTTGGTGCATACATGAATTGCACGGGTCCGTAGATGTTTTGCCTCCTTACTCAGGTTTGCGATGGATTGATGCCTCCTTTTCTTGTAGTTTCTATTCAAGATACCCAAATTGTTCCATGTTCTATTGGGCAGACTTTTAGGTGCACTTTGGGACATGTGGGACGCTCATGCAGTCTAGATGGAGAAGAGATCAGTGTTATGAAAAGAGTCAGTGTTTGTGGCCGAGAGGAAAATACAGGTACCAGAAGAGGTGGTCAAGTCGAACCTGTAGGCTGCAGAAGATGAATAGCTATGTGGAGGAAAAAGAATGATTTGTCGGGGCGAAACGAAAAGAAGACAGACGGGTGAGTCACGTGGAATGTGAGGAAGATAAAATGCGGGCATACGAGGAGGCGGTCAATATGTAAAAGTTACAGCTACAACGCCCCGCTGAGATACCAATATAACACCTCTATTATGCCGGTGTCAGACTTTGCGAATCGAGCGAATCGCGGGATACGAGCGTGCGTCAGCGAACCGAGCTGTCTGCCAACGTTTCAAACGATGTACCAGCGCTCGACACTGTTTAAAAGTGGCTTCCGCCATTTCCCGGGCTCACGAGCAGGGTGAAAATCGTGTCGAGGACGTGGTCGCAGAAGTACGACCCCCCCCCCTGAAATCGAGGTCTTGGCACGACCCCCCTAAACAGAGCATACGCAAAATCACAACAGCCGAGTGTATCGATCAACGGCCGATTCAACGGCAGCTGCGGCGCGATTTGTCCCTGGGTCAGATTTGCTGAAATCCCCGAAAAACCGTACACGAACATCTATACAAAGGTTCCAGGTTTCATTCTTAAACGTAATAAGTTTTGGAAAGCGAAAGGTTTGCGCGCCTTCTAATGGTATGTTCAGTTTCCTTCTACATTCCCTAGTTGATAAGATATTTGCGTCGAGGATCTATCGAGGTATGATTCTCGTCGCTCAAAAAGCGCGCTTTTTCTTCACCATTGCAAGTGTAAGTTCGTTTGGCAACGCTCGAAATGTGTCTAGAATACATTTTTGGACATGCAATAAGAAAAGGGGCAATCGTCATCGTCGATCTCGTGTCAGTATAGGCCATGCATCCGACTCACTTTAAGTTGTAGCATCTATTGACGGTGTTATGCATAGGATTGACCTGTCGGCAGAAAGTGGGAACTGATACACACGAAACGTTTTGTGCAAGCTGCTCATAATTCGGTTTCCAACGAGCTTAGACATGAGCCGGAAAAGTAGGACAGAGCCCGAGACTAGGACGCGGACGCGGTTGAATGGTTAAGGTGGGACGCAGACGGCCGAAGTGAGCGGATGGTTGCGGCCGACGCCATAACACGGTTCCAAGAAAGTCTAAGGACCGGGAAAGAAGTTGATTGAGTTTGTCTTTGGAAGGGAGGTCAACTGCCATTGGTGGGTGGAGGTATGCCATCAAAAGGGGAGGTTCCGGAGACCGGGAAAAAGGTGGATAGAGGTGGGTGAGGAGTGGAGCCCAACTGTCATTGGTGGGCGGGGCATGACCAAAGTGGGCGGAGTTATCCACGAAAATTTGTAACTCGGCTCCAAGAAGTCCTGGAGACCGGGAAAAAGTGAATTGAGTTTGTCAACGGAAAGGGAGTCAACTGCTACTGGTGGGTGGGTGTGCACCAGAGGGCGGAGTTATTCACGAAACTTTGTAACTCGGCTCCAAGAAGTCCTGAGGACCGAGAAAATAGTGGATTGAGTCCGTCAACGGAAGGCAGATCAACTGCTATTGGTGGGTGGAGCGTGCGTTGAAGTAGGCGGAGTTTGTCACGTGATATTACAGGAGGTTCAAAGAGAGCCCAGAGGCTGGGAAAAGTGGATAAAGGTTGGCGAAGGAATGGGGGCCAAATGCTATTGTGGGCGCCACCGAGGATTTGCGGAGTTTCCCACGGTGAACTATAAAAATATCAATGGCCCTGTTTCATGCATGCAGTCCCGTGTGATGCACGCGAATGCGTGTGCCGCCAACCTGGTCAATGCATTACGACAAACGGCAAAACTGAGCTTTTCATTTCCCAGGTTTGACCCGAAGCCCTAGAAAGGTGCTCCGGTGAACAAAACATTAGAAACGTATCTTCAGTCTCTAATCATCTCCACTCACTTGGTCGCGTCATGCTTTTGATTCTGCCGGCCAGTATCTTTCGTCACCACTGGCATACTTATTGAACTTGGTCGTCTTCAGATCGATAGCTTCCACTCAGTCGTCCCTTTTACTCATCACGTTTTTTTACTGAGTGAATTGTGAACGATGAATGACCACGAGGCTCTGACGACGACCACCTGATGTTTGTCAGTCCACGGATTGCCGGCAGGCAAGGTTCATTTTGCTTGGAACTATCAGCCGTCAGCACTCTTTTTTATTCATCCCATTGAATTGAAATATTCAATTATTTTTATTCATCCCATTGAATTGAAATATTCAATTATTTTCTGGCTTTTGAAACCTTTGTAATCACGAAGGGAACGGACCTGGGACCTCATTCCAGGCAGCTATATTTTGGGGGAGGGTCAGAACTTTTATTAAAAGCTTGCAAATTTCCCTCAAACCACTTCTCTGATGTGTTCATGCTTGCTACAACATCCACATAAGCAGTGATCCGAAGCCCAGCTGTCCGGAAGCCCCAGAATAAATATTCCCTTAATATCCGTTCACCAACCCTTCTTACCTACTCCATAGTTAATCATTTTGAACGAAAATAGCTTAAAAACGATTTTTACATCTTTCTGCGAAGTGGCAGTAGTATAATGGATATCGTATTCTTATGATTCTCCTGATCGCGTGCCACGAGCAGTCTCCAATACCCATCCTTTAGGGACCTTTGGACCCAGCCCAGCGCAGTCCATGAGATTGTGTGACCACTATCTTTCCACTCCACAGGAGCAAGTGTTCCAGCTGCATGTTCAAATGTGTAATTCATCGCGAATGCAGAAGAGAGAAAGCCTGCCTGGTCAGGGTCCATCAATCAGTTGTCATTTGGGTGCGTATTTCATTTTACTCTCACAGCTGTTCACCTCTGAGGCGCATTTTTCACAATAGCTTTGATGTTTTGTTGATGGCCTGAGTTTTCGTTTAGGACTGTCATCAAAGCGAAATTATCACCGATTTTTTAGAGGAGAGCCATCCTCCTGAAGAAAAAATTTGAACTATATTGTCAAAGAAATTGCTTAGACGCTCAATCTTTCATGGGTACCCTCCCAGCAGCATTGGTATAGGCGCCCCAAGTCTCCCACAGTAGCTCTTAGAAATTCCCAATATATATGCACAGTGGTATATAGTGGCAAGGGTATGAAAACTCCAGTTCGGGGGGGGCACTCCATTTTTTCTCCAATACTCAAGATAAGGATTAGAGGGCTCACGACACGTAATCGACTCATTTAAAGTAGACTTCTGATAAATATTGGTGTAATGGGTGAGAAACCCTGAAACGTTTTCACATTTCCGCCTGCCATGACCCAAGGGAACGGTCCTGGACCAGGAGAAAGGACACCTCCGCAAAGGGCTAAGGGTGCAGGAGCTCCAGGGTGGATCACCTGTGCAGAAAAGTGGATGGGATGTGGGCAGGTAGTGTGGAATGTAGGACATCCACCGGTCCTTATCAAAAGTACGCTCGAAATGAGTCGTTCACTTATTATCTTATCCGTAGTGTTCGATAGCCCA